GCGGGCTTTGTCGCTGGGGATGTCCTGCCCATATTCCTCCATGTAGCTGAGGACTTGGGTTAGGAAAAACCCCAAGCGTGTTGGCTCCCCTTTGAATTTCACCTCCAACGGTGGACGTCTTGGAATGGATCGGTGCCTCCATTGTGGGTGGTAGTGTCTTCCGTCCAGATTCCATCTGTGGTCCGGTAGGGGGTGGGAGCTCCTGGATCAGTAAATGTCCCTGGGGTTGCAGGTTCCACGTCCCCCTCGGTGTCTCTCCCTTTGTGGCTCCAGGAACTGGGGCGGGCGTAGGGCTCAGGAATCTCCTCTCCTAGGGAGCTGAGAGTTCTCTTCATCAGGTCAATAGCTTTCTCTAGGATCCAGTCTGAGTACGGCATACAGCTTCCTCCCTCTTCACTTGCGTGCAGGGATTTCTCCATCTCCTGCTTCCATTCTGGTTGCTTGGTCCCCCGTCTCAGGGTCACTTTTCTTGATTCCTTTCCCCACTCGCTTTTCTTTCCAACGCCCATCGACCAGCGAGGCTTGTGGTCCTGTGTCTCCACCACTTCTTCTTCTGAGAAATCTGGCCTCTCGGATCCCAACATCTGGCAAGGTTCCAACTGGGTCAGCGGCTCTCTTTCCAGGGAGTTTTCTCCCTCTCTTGCTTCGTTGTCTGACATGGTAAATTTTTGCAAAATCCCCCGGCAAGGGTCTACCTTCCAGGTGGATTAATTTTGCAAGTCCTGTCTAATGTAAGGACCCACCCCACTTTGCATCTTAAGAAGACAGAACTCTTGGAATAGCTCTTCCAACAGGAATCCTTTATTAAGAGAAAATGGTTGCAGGCATGCTAGACAGGACTTGGGGTCCAAGCTCTCCCATTCAAGGTTTTAAGGGGTTCCCCAGTAGTCCCACCCAATCAACCCCCCTTCCCAGTGATAGTTTCAAGTATCACAATTCCACCCCGTTTCTTCTTTCTTCCGTCTGGATGGAGACTTCAGATAACTACATGAAAGGCAAATACTCTTCTTTGTTAATGCTAATGTTCTCTGGTGTTAACGCTTGAGGTTACAATAGGTTACAATAAACACACATTCAGCATTCAGCTCTTTGAAGTCTACTGAAGGAAGTGAGGGCCATAAAGCCCCTTTGTTCTCCCCCTTCTCTCCCTCTTATGGCAGAATCCAAAGAAGGCAGAATTGGGAGTTTCTATATTTGATAATTAAAGATGAAATATTTCACAGCACTCTCTGAGCAGTTTACAGAGTCAGCATATTGCCCCCAACAATCTGGGTCCTCATTTTACCAACCAACCTCCCTCCCCCCCTCCCTCCCCCCTCCCTCTCTCTCTCTCTCTCTCTCTCTCTCTCTCTCTCTCTGTGTGTGTGTGTGTGTGTGTGTGTGTGTGTGTGTGTGTAAAAAACAAGAGTGGCCACACACTGTTCTCAGACAAGCTGACAAGCTTATTGGGCGGAGCTCCTGCCTTTGCTAAGTCTCAGCAAGAAGCAGGAGAAAGCAGTCTCTCTCTCTCTCTCTCTCTCTCTCTCTCTCTCTCTCTCTCCCCCCCCCCCCCCATTCTGAGGATTCAAAGGATCATTGCTAGTCATTTCTCTTAGGGAAATGACACCCCTGATTCAGTTCTGTTATCAAAGCTAGGGCCAATTTGCTATAGCAATTAAGGCATCAGGCAAGAAAAACCAAAGATGGTGAGTTTTAGTCTCTTAGGCACAAAGACAGTGATAAACCACTTCTGAAAATCCGAGCCAAGAAAACTGCAGGGACCAGTAGTCCGGGCAGTTGCCAGGAGTTAAAAAGTAACAGGAAGGAAGGAAGGAAGGAAGGAAGGAAGGAAGGAAGGAAGGAAGGAAGGAAGGAAGGAAGGAAGGAAATATGTGTTTATTTGTGTGTGTGTGTGTACACATACTGTACACATAGGTACAATCTTTAAAAAAAAATGCTGGACAGATTTTTTAACAGATTTTAAAACCGTTATCCTGAAAAATATAGTTGACTGAAGAACAGAGAAACTGTCCTTCCTTGATTTGTTCATTGTTATAAGTTTGGGGTGCTGTCAAGATGACCTCACAGGAAGCCCTCTAACTCATTGATTTTTCACTTGGAAGTTTCAGTAAGTATAGCTCTCACCTGGAATGCTATAAACGGCAGCTTAACACTTAGCAAAAATGAGTCAGGAGATGGTAAGATATGGTGATGCCACAAATTAAAAGCATTAAACAATTTTTTTTTCGAAAATGCAAATAAGCCAGGAAGATGGCTGGCTTATAGATTAAGGAAACGGAAAGAAAAGAACCAGATTAGCAAATTATATAATGAAGGAGAGTTAATCTACCAAAATGAGGGAAAGAGGAAGGTAGTGTATGAGTTTTTTTAAAAGCCTTTATGAGGATAAGGAGAAAGTAGAAGAAGGCAAGATGGTGCAATACCTTCAAAAAACAGATATGCCCAGAATCTCGGAGGAAGATAAAAATTTATTAAATAATGAGATAACAGTAGGGCAGATATCTGAGGCAATTAAAAAACAAAAAAAGTAACAAAACACCAGGCCCAGATGGTCTACCTTCAGAAATCTATAAAAATCATCAGGAATTACTAAGCCCACTGTTATTAGAGGTATATAATGATGTACTGAATGAAGCTAAGATACCCGAATCATGGAAAGAAGGAACAATCACATTGATTCCCAAAGAAAATTCTGATTTGACCTATATTAAAAATTATAGGCCGATATCTCTACTAAACTCAGATTATAAAATATTTATGACAATTATAGCAGATAGATTAAAGAAAATTTTAGAAAATTTTATTCATACTGATCAAAATGGTTTTCTTCCCGGACGACATATAAGGAATAACATTAGGATTATTTTGGATAAGACAGAATATTATGAAGTCCATAATGAGAAACAGATGGTGTTAATATTCATTGATGCACAAAAAGCATTTGACAAGGTCAAATGGGACTTCATACTAGAACAATTAAAATATATGGATTTGGGGGGGAAATTTATAAAGATGTTCTAAACAATCTACTCTAGACAAGAGGCTAGAGTGGTGATAAATGGGGAAACAACAAAGAACTTTTTAATCCAGAAAGGCACAAGGCAAGGCTGTCCGTTATCTCCACTGCTTTTTATTTTATCATTAGAGGCTTTAATTAGAAAAATTTGAGAAGATAAACAAGTCAAAGGTTTAAAAGTAAAAAAAAAGAAAGTTTTAAGGTTCAGGCATTTGCGGACGACCTTGTATTTATTATTGAAGAGCCTGTACAATCTGGTCTCAGGCTGATGGAAGTGCTGGAGGACTATGGGGAAGTAGCAGGCCTGAAAATAAATAGGGATAAAACAAAAATGATAGTTAAAAATATGACTGAAGAGCAAAAAAAAAAAAAAAAAAAAGAATTGGAGGGAAAGATAAATATGCAGATCACGAAAAAAATAAGATATTTGGGAATCTAATTTACAGCGAGATGCATTACACTCAAAGAAGACAATTATGATAAATTAATGGTGTAAATCAGGTCTGATTTGGAAAAATGGGGAAAACTACAGTTATCTTTAATGGGTAGGCAAGACCATAAGTAAATTATATCGATATCTATTAGAACAAGATATGATTGAGGAACAGGTGAAAGAAATGATGATAATTTGGAGTAAATATTTTGGGCACAATATTGATTTGGATAATTGGCAAAGTTTATGGGGAAAAAAAACCTAAAAATTACCTTGGGAACCTCCTATAAGGAGAACCTATATAAGATGTTTTATAGGTGGCACCTCCCTCCCACAAGATTAGCACGAATGAATAAGGGGAAATCCCCGATATGTTGGAAGTGTGGAGAGACCGTTGGGAATTACTATCATATGTGGTGGAAATGCACACAGGCACAAAAATTGTGGAATTTATTAAAGAAATGGCTGGAAGAAATCCTGCTAATAGATATAGAGGCCAAACCAGAATTTTTCCTACTGGGAATTATAGAAAGAAAATACAAGAAAGATATAAATTATTTATTACTGCATATAATAACGGCGGCACGAATAGCCTTCACTCAAAAATGGAAAGAGAAAGATATTCCAACCGAACAGGAAATATTATTGAAAATCCTCAGTTGTGCAGAAATGGATAGACTCACATTGGAACTCAAGGATAAAAGTGAAACTAAGTACTATAAAATCTGGGAACAATTTTATGGTTGGATAGATAACAAGAGAGCAGCCAAGAAAAATGTTTAGTGTTAGAATAAAATATAGATTATAGACAAATGTATATTTAAAAGAAGAACTATATGTCTATATGAGTACTAATGTTACTGTAAAGTGATGGAAGATGTATGGAACTAGTGACGTCATATCTATGTCCAATGTGTTTTTAATTTTATATTATTAATAAAACTTCAATAAAAAAAGATATGGTGATGCCTTCCAATAGTACTCACAGACAAATGGTAGGTATGATTAGTCTGCTTTTCATGAGTTAGATATCTGACAGGAAATTGGAGTCAATTGGAGAATTAATACTGTGAGTCTTAATTTTATCCTCATATTATATATATTTGCAAATAGGTGGCAGTAATCTCCTTTAAAATCAGGGGAAGGCAATCACAGAAATCACACATTATTTCAGCCTTCAAGAGTCATAGTAGCAATGATGACACTAGAGGGAGACAGGAAAATATTTCGTCATATTTTGAAGGAATTTATATTAAATGTCTTAAAGCAATGCTGGAATCCTAATGCACCTGTTTTGCTTGGTACTTGGGATAGTAAAAAATCATGAAGCCAAATTTTGACCTTTTACTCCTTGAGTATCAGTAGCTCAAGCTACTGAGAGTGCGGTATAACCGTCAGATCTTATGCTTTCTGTAACTTCTGAAATATCTACCCCGTTTAAAGAAACTAAACTCCTGAAAAAATTGGAGCCTCTGAAAATTCCCACTACTCTAAAACACAAAGCATATAAGTTTGCTGATACATTTCTACTGCTGATACATTTCTTCTTACCTGCTTGAATTAAAAGCTTTAGACATTCATTTGTGTTTTGAAATGCAGCTTCATGAATAGCCATCCAACCTCTGTTATCAGAAACATCAATGCTGTATCCCTTGTTGATTAGTTTCTTCAAAAGTTTAATATTGCCTTCTCTGGCTGCAAGCCCAACAGCCGAACATCTATCAGAATAGGCTTCTGTAAAATCCATCCTAATTAATTGAGGTAGGAGAAAATGAAGAGAAATAGCCCATGAAATTAATAGAAAAAATACAAAAGTGTATAATTTCAACAAAAGTTATCCTCTTTGGAATATAAATCTACATAAATATATCTAATAGGAATCTGTACAATAAATTCATTTTCAGAAAGTATTAAGAACAGAAGGCCATGCCCAGAGTATATACATAGAGCAGGATCACTAAGGCATGAAGAGCATCCCAGCTAAAACAAGCAGACACATGTATCAGACAGGAGCAATATAGGAAAACACTGGAAGAAAACAATCATTTTAGTAACAAGAGTAAAGGCATCATTTCATATTGTATGAGAGAAGACAATGGTAAACCACTCCTGTATTTTACTAGAAAACTACTTGGGTAGTTTGGGTGATAGTTATGGTGACAGACAATATAGAGCCAGGTGCTGGGCCTCTCAGGTCAGATGGCACTCAACATGCTATTGAGAAAGAGCTAAGGATTTTCCATAGGGTTCATGTCATTGATTAAATTCTTCAGGACATCTAGTCATTAATGGTGCCAAATAGAAAAAGAAAATGCAAAGATGCAAAAACAGAATTATAGTGGGAAATGCAACATATGAAGCATGAGCATGTTCAACACAGTGAAAGATTAAGTGAAACAACTACATGCTGACATTTTAAGTTAACTGAAATGGACTGTTGTGGGGAACATTCAGTAAGATCACACTGTTTGCTACTGCAGTATTCTGAACATGAAAAATAAAAAAGGAACACTGCTTTCCTAGTCAGGAAGGATAAAGAAAAAATAGTACCTGGGTACAATGCAATCAGTAACTGCATAATATGAATTAGAGTTCACAGTCTAGCCTTTAAAATTATCATTTTTGAAATTAATGCTCTAATAAGAAGAGGTTTCATCAAGTATGATGGTCAAGTTCAATCAGAAACTGATAAAGTAAGCAAGATGTACTGCTAGTGATTGGAGATTGGAATGAAAAAGTTGAAAACTATAAGGAGGAAAATATACAGGTAATCCTTAGGACCACAATTGGCACTGGAAAATTTGTCATTAAGTGGCATGGTCATTAAGTGACTAACTTAATGGCATTATATAACTGCACCTAATTTTACAAATTTTTTGCCATTAATGAATAATGTAATCATTAAATGAGATATCACATGATCATGATTTACAATTTTGCCTGCCGGCTTCCCCATTAATTCTGCTTGTTGGAAGCCAGCTGGGAAAGTCACATATTATGATCATGTGACTACAGGACACTGAAACCCTCCTAAATGCAAACCTCTGAACTGCAATCATGGGAAGATAACAGCGTTCTGTGTACCTCAGCATATAGTCATGCTGGCCACCTGGCCACATAAATGTATTCGGACAATGCTGGCTCCCTCAGCTAATTAACAGAGATGAGCACCCCGCCTTGAGTTGAACACAATTGGACAAGGGAAACCTTTACTTTTCTTTGACCATAGGGGGTGATCGTTTGTAATATTGCAGCTAGATTGTACATTCCTTTTTAGAGCAGTCAAAACTTTAAGCTGACATTAAAAGAATGGTCATAAATCAAGGGTTACCTGTAACAATGTGGTGGGATGTACTCTGGATTCTCAGGAGTGCAGGACTGCATTCCAGAGGACCAAGAGGAGAAAGAGGGTTAAGATGCATTCTCCTTAGAAATTGCCAGAGTAAATCTTTAATGATACTAGTAGTTGCTTTAGTTTGGCAAGATTTCTATCTATAGGTGAAGAACAGTAAAGGAAACAGCTTAGAAGTAATTCTACCTGTCTTTCTTGGTTCTGAGAGGTAGAGAGGCTTAAGAAACAGAAATGAAGCAGGAGAATGGCATCAGTTTATCCCAATAAAATTATTTCTTCATTACTAACATCTTCATCTCTAACCAATCAAAATTCCTATTTGTCTGTCCAACAATTCACCACAGACATCAATTGATTACACAGCAATCAAATTGACTATTTATTAGTACAAAAAGATGGAAGTGCTTAAAGATAACACCAAAGACATAGCCCGGGGATGACCATGAACAGATCATAAACTGTCCATATGCAAATTCCAAGTCAAGCCATCGCAGAACAAATGCTAACTAGTTTCACAATTTAATTGTGAGCATACTCCCACCATGTTCAAGAACATCAGGAATCATACTGAAGTCTTGAACCTGAATGATAGGAATAGTGGAATGAAATCAAAGTAGTTGCTAAGGATGAATGCAAAAAGAGACTGCCAAAGATCAAGAGAAAAGAGAAAGCAAATTTGATGCCAGAACAAATGGTGAAAACTGCCAAGAAGAGAAAAGCTAAAACCAAGAAAAACAAACAATCAGGAAGATACTGAAAAAATCAGAAAGCTCTTAGAAAAGACAAGAAACAGTATGCCATCTGTAAAGAGATAAAAGACGGAAACAAACATGGAAAAACAAGAACAATCTTCCAAACAATCTCTGAGCACCAAAGGTTCCAATCTCATATTTGTACACCAATGGACAATGGAAGAGTAAACAGAGATGGAGGGAGTATATTGAAATTCTGCACAGTAGGGATGTCAACAGCTAAGGTACCTGAGAAAATATTTCTAACTTTCAGGAATCTCTAGTTCCAGAAGATGAAGTCATATCAGAACTCTAGTCTTTACCAAGTTAGAAGGCTGTAAGAATTGACAGAATATCCGGAGAAATATGGCAAGCAATAGAAGAGAAATCAATAAAGGTTCCAACCAAACCATAAACTAGAGAACACAGTGGTCAAAAGATTGGAAGAGGTCAGTCTACATTCTAATATAAAAAGGGAAAGTTAACAAAATGTACAAACTATTGTACAATATCCTTAATTTCACCTATTAGCAAAATACTCTTACAATCATCTAAGGAAGATAAGAGCACTGTATGGCAAGTGAGATGCTGGATGTTGAAGCTGTCTTTAGAAAATGCTGAGGAACAAGAGACATTATTCCCAATGCATACAGCAAAATTAAGACAGCCAAAGAAAAAGGCAGTGCTTCATTGATCAGAGAAAGGCCTTTGTGTCAATCATGTCAAACTATGGAGTCTCTCCCTTCACAGTGACACCTCTGTCATAGATATTCATTGTGGGGGCAGTAGATTTTCCCAAGTTGGTAGCACTAAAGAACTTCAATCTAGTGAAAGGCCTGGAGCAACCCAGTAATTTATGACAATCATTGACCTTAGGTACCCAGCATTAAGAGATCTCACACTAGGATAGTTTTTCATCTCAAGGCAGACATAATGTGATCCCAAAGTAGAAGCCTGGTCATGGGCAGATCACTCTTCGATCATTTAGGAGTTTTGCTGTGCAACCTCCCTTCACAGGGGTGATCTATCAGATCAGTCAACCCCTTGTGCCTAATGAATCCAATAGTTTTTCAGAAAGCACCTGGGCAGTTTTCCAAGAATCTGATGGGCAATTAAGACTGATCATCCACTAGAACAGGGGTGTCAAAAAGCCAGCCCACAGGCTGGATGCGTCATGCCAAAACCGCACCCATTCCATTGCCAGCACTGGAAAAAAAGTAGCCATACATCGCAAGTTTGACACCCCTGCACTAGAATAAAGGGGAAGCTAAGGAACTTGACCAAATTACACTAGAGTGACCTCTCTCTTCTCACAGATCCAATACTACTCCTTGGTTTACCAAAGAGCTCATGGAGGAAGACCCATTTTGAGTCCAACCACTAGTAAATGCTCACATTTGCATCTACAGTGAAAATCCAATCAGCAAAACGGAGATATTTTGCCACTTCATTGCAAAAAGACAATTTTCATAAAAAGGCCTACTGTGAAGAATTTTCATGACCTCTATCTACCGTAACAAAACCATTTAGATTCAAGAGGAGTCGAACTTCAGCTGTGCAGCATCAACAGAGGTAACTGGCCCTTTTCACAGGTCACTCACGCACTATAAATAAACTTATGCAACTAGAAGAAAGATAGAAGGCTTTCTGGAATTTTTTTTATAAACTTAGGAGGCTACCCTTTTTAAATTTATCACAAAGAAATGCAAAATCTCTTCCATATAATAATTAAACCATAAGTTTAATGCTTTGAATGAGTTCACCCAATATCAAAATCATTATGGCTCAGTACATGGGTGCAATATACTATCCAATATAGTACATGACTACATAATAAATTATATAGTTTATAATTCAGTGTACTACGAACACAACTGTAGTTTGATTCATGACTAGTGCAATGTATGAATGCATGGCTAAGGTAAGAATACTGATTATCTTTTGGGCTGAGGAGACCAGAAGGCGGCTCAGTTGGGGCTGATCACACTCAAATTGACCTTCCTCAGAGGTTGTTATGGATACATGAACGGCGATCCCCACAACAGGCATTCTAAATTCCCAGAAGAGGGGATAAAAATGCAATAATTAACTAAATACGAATTAGGATATTGCCCTAATTGGATTCACAGCACAGCATATACTCAAGTATCGCATAAAGTTACAGGTTAAATTCGTGTAGCAAAGTAAGCAAGAGGGAGGACGCCTCCTTTGCGACTCAGCGGGCTGCAATACCCGGATCCTCACTTCCCGAGTTTGAAAACCCTCTGCCTGACTCAAGAACCTCAAAGGGGGAAGCTGGCGCAACGCCGCATCACCACGAGGGTTCCTCTTCCCTCTCGGCTGCCGGGGCAGCCTGAAGGGAAAGCGGTGAAGAGGGTTCCCTCGGCTGGCTCACCTACCCGGCCGCCGGCGCGGGATATTCCGTAAGATGGCGGAAGCGTCTGTAAATAAGGCCGCGCCAAACAGCCGTCGCCAATCCGCCCTGCCCCTCGCCGAGCAGGACTAAATAGCCAACCGGCCTCCCAGGAGAGGCGGCCTCTTCTCCTTCCTGCCCTTGCGAAAGAAAGGGCCGGAACCAGCAGATCAATGGAATCGGTCACAGTCCCGCTCCCTTCCTTGCCCGAGATCTTCTCACCCGAGATCTTTGCCGGGCCAAGCGAGGCTTTCTTTCTAGGAAAGGAGGGGCAATCGCTCAGCGCTTGGGACTCTGAGCGACTCTCCCAAAGAACACCAGATGCTTTGCCGAGGAGGAGCAGCCGTTGACACCCAGCCTTTCTTTTCCTGGCTCAGAAAAGGATGCCGGGAGCTGTAGTTTGAGCTCGGTCTACTACGGCAAAAAGCAGGAGTGCCTCTGACTCCCCAGTTCTGCCGGCGAGACAGTCAGTGGAGGGACACGTGGTTAAGTGGAAGCGGAGCCCGCTCGGAGGTTGGGGCTCTTTTGAGCGCGGGCCTTGCGCTCTGCTGTGTTCTCTGCCTGCTCAACAAAGGCTGGAGAGAATATGCAAAGCCTTAGCAGCCCCCAGGGCCGCTGTTGCCCGTCCCCTCCCTCTTCCCCAGTCAGCGAAGCAAAGAGTGACGGGGCTAGAAACATGTGGGTGTTCGGATATGGCTCTCTCATCTGGAAGGTGGATTTTCCTTACGAGGACAAGATGGTAGGATACATCACGGGCTACAGCAGGAGGTTCTGGCAAGGCAGCACGGATCACCGTGGCGTGCCGGGCAAGGTGAGCTGCGGTAGGCAGACAGAGCGGAGAAGCGGGGCTATCTTGTAACCTGGTCGATGCCAGTAGAGCACTGAGAGATGCCAGGACTCTTTTAGTTAGTGGGAAAATTTTGTTATCTCCCAGGTGGGAGCTGGGCTGGAATCGAACTGGGCCAGAGAAGGAAAAGGTTTGGGGAGGTGAACCTGTGCGACTGACAAGAGCTGACCCGCCAGCCATCCTGTTGCAGAGGAGCTTGGCAACTGCCTGCGTGCCCACTGGTCGGATTGATGTTTGTGTGCATAACCGTCGAGACAGATCTCCCACGTTTGGAGCAAAATAAGCCGAGTGCCAGTTTACTACGGGTGGAGCGATTCCAGAACCCAGGTGCACTTTTCACACGCACAGCCCAGCGCTATTATTGTTAGAATAATAGAAAGGTGTCTTTGTCTCCCACTCTCTATGCTTTTTACTTATCTATTTTATCTATACACAGACAAACCTCGAATACTAATATAGTTAGCAATGCAACTTGGGTACAATTGTTTTGTTTTTTCCTGTTTGGAAACAACTGTCCCCTTGGGGGACAGTGTATCTTGCAGGCAACAAGGAAGAAGACAAAGTTCCCAAGCTAGTTTTTCTTTTATTTCATTGCACTTCAGTGTTTGGGTCATCTTCTATAAATTTATTTATATTTGCTCAGATTCCTTCAGAGCACATTATGAAGGGAACTTCAATGGCAAGATTTGATTTTCTGCTAAAAATAAAATTACTGACCTTTAAACCTATCATGTTTAAATCCAAACCCATGGCTAATACTGGCTGTATTCCAACATGTTATACCAAAACAAAAAAATCACATTATGGCTTTAAATAATGGGTTGATTCACACAACATATTAAGAGGTAACAGGATTTGTTTAGTTTTGGCTTAGCATGTATAGTTTAATCATAGTTATTACTTAGCATATTGTTCAGTGTGAACAGGTGTGATCATTTCCTGAGCAACGCATATTGTTAAAGGTCAAGAAAAGTATTGTCCCGCTTTAAAACTGTCTTAAGGCATTTGCCATCAACCAATCTTTTAATGGCTGCGTCCATTTTATTCTTCAATATAATTTGGGGGAAAATCAGACTATTTTGTAAAAGAAATAAACTTATGTCACATATTACAAATAACTTTACAGATTCACACCTCAATCCTCCATGTTTTCTCTGAATAGGTTACATTAAACCAAATGTGATTTCGTACTAAATAAAAGAATGTAAGATGAAAGAAGTTGTTTCAAATATTTAAAAAGACCAACTTCTACTTACTACATGTGGATTTTGATTGCAAAACAAGAACATAACAAGAGCTGTGCATCCAGTATTTTAAAACCTTCTGAAATCTTGGATTAACAAGAGCTGTGCATCCAGTATTTTAAAACCTTCTGAAATCTTAGATTAACAAGAGCTGTGCATCCAGTATTTTAAAACCTTCTGAAATCTTGGATTTCTAGCATACTGTGCTGTGTAAATTATTCCTGTATGTAGAGGGATTCTGTATATTTCAGGAAAAAATTTACAATCTTCTGAAATGATACTATCACAGAACTGGCAGAGCACAATTCTTCTAAAATTACCAGGGTAGCATGTGGGTTTGCACTTTATTCTCTCAGTGAATGTCCTTTTGACTGAATAAGTATTACTTTTTTCCAAATTTCAGTTGAGAGATCTTAAACTACTTAAGTTTTGGACATCAGATATTGGTTGCTATGAAACTGATGCTGTTCAGGTTTTTTTTACTGCATTTATCTATAGAGCTTACTAAACAACTGATAATTTTGACTACATTTCATTTAAAATGAATATATGACCAATATTAAAACTAATGAAAAATTAGTTGGAGTTGGGTAGCCAATTAATTTAAATAATGTTATTGCATGATCAATTGACAAGATAATAATTTTGTCTCTACAACATTTATACTGCTTCAGTCTCCATTTCTCTTTCTATATAAATGTATCAATAATATGATGAGCCTAAGTTCGTTTACTATGAACATCCTAGTTTGTAACCATTGCATCCTTATCTAGAAATAAGCTTCAATGAATTCAATGGTACATTAGAAATATCACCATTTCTGCACCCATTCTGATTTATGATTGCTGTTTGAAACGATGTTAACTTCTGATCATATGAAAGAATTGTAAGAAAATGCTATAGTTGTTAATTTTCCATTTCTTTACTTCTTTATCCTTATACCAGATTTAATAAAAGAATTCTGATTAAATGAACATCCTTTAATATCTTTTTTGGACAGAATAAAATGAAGAAAAGTGTAAGAAGCAGTTTGGTCTAGTAGATAAGGCTCCAGGCTAGAAATCAGGAGACTGTGAGTTCTAGTTCCACCTTAAAACTGATTAGATGTCCTTGGGCCAGGACCCTGCACTTTTAAGAGGATGCCTGCTGGGAAGGAAAAAAAGAGAAGAGAAAGTATGTGAATCTTTTGGAGCTATCCATAATCCTGTAACACTTTGACTTACAGTGTCCTCAGAGCTCCTGTAAGCCTATTAATAAAACACAAACATTGACTGTCGTCATGAGAATGCTGCTCACATTCCAAGTTTGTGTAAACATGCTCAATTTTGTAGCCCTAAGAAAAAGTGTTGTTGGTATTCATGAGACTAGAATGGCTTCCATCAATTCACAGTCAGGCAGATAGTGTACAAATGGAGAAAATGCAACACGAGTGTTACTCCCAGGTCTGGTTATCCAACACAAAATTTCCCAAGAGCAAAGCTTACAATATTCTGGGAGATCACAGAGTCCAGAGAACAGCAAAGCATCTACAGGCCGTTCTTGCACTAAACAATGCACTGATGCCAGTGTTCATGACTCTACCATAAGACACCAAAGAAGAATGATCTGAATGAAAGGTTATCAAGGAGGAAACCACTGGTTTCCCAAAAACACAATGCCACAAGTTTCAAATTTGCCAAAGATAATCCAGCAGGCTACTAGAACATGGTTCAGTGGACAGACTAAGATAAAAATAGAACTTTGGATATTAATAAGAAATGTTATTTTTGAAGCAAATGAAATATGGAATTCAAGTAAAAGTAACTATCGTAAGCATAGTGATAAGATTTTTCATGGATTGGGGTATTTTGCAGCCTTATGACCCTGGGCAATTCAAATTAGGAAGGACAATAAATTCTAGAAATAGAAAATTGCTGGGTATTTACAACAGTTAGCCTAATTGAAAATATGTGTCATCTAAAACAAGGGGTTCATCTAAGGCAACTTCAAACCATCAATGAAATGAAGCTGTTATGTAAAGGGAAAAGGGCCAAACTACTTGCAAATCAAGGTGCAGGATTGGTTAAAAAGCACAGAAAATATTTTGTTGAATCAAATCTAATAGATCTTAGAGTTTAAATTGCAGCTCATAGTACAGCAGGATTATGGATAGTTCTGAAATGTTTACAAACTTACTGTTGTAGTATAATGTGTTGTCCAGTATGCATTCTTTCACTCTGTTTTTTTATTGGTTTTATTTGCTATTTTATTCCTTCAATTTTTAATAGAGATAGCATTTCATAGTGGCTGCATCTGAACATTACATTGAAATAGAACCCTTAAGACAAAATTGATCCAGAATGCAGTGGCATGTGAAGTTTTGGGCATCCCATAGTTTGCCCATGGTACACTGATGGTATGCAAGCTACATTATCTTCCATTTTCTTTTTGGCTGCAATTCAAGAGTCTTGTCTCCTTTAAAGCCCTGAATGGCATGGGGCCAAATTATTTGTGGGACCACTTGAGATTATTTGCGTTCTCCACCAGATCAGATACGAGTGGCTTGCTCCAAGTTCCTTCCCTTAAATGTTGCCATCTAGCCGGATCTAGGTAATCTGCCTTTTTGTTAGTAGCCCTGCCCTTTGGAACAACCTTCTCTCAGAGATCCAGCATACTCCTACCTGCCTGGTTTTCTGAAAAGCCTTGAAGATTTGGGTTTTCCAATAAGTTGGGATAGCATCTGGCTGGAACCTAATAAAGTTGTTGGTAGATATAAGTAATGTATTATTTTAGTGCCACTGCAAGATTTTATGCTGGTTTTGAGGTGCTTTTTGTGTGTGTGTATGTGTATTTGTAAACTGCCCACCATTATGATGAATAAAATAAGAGATTGTATAAATGTTTAAAATAAATAGGTCTGTATAGCATATGAGTAATGTGTGGTATAGGTACTTTCTACAAACCACCAGGGATAAATAATTCTGAAGGGTCTGCATATGATTTGCATGGAATTGTATGCAAACCAGTAATTTTCACCCCTATCTGTCCTATAACAATCCAGAAACATGGAAGTATGTATCTCAATCAAACTACTGTGTTATATCAACAGAAGGATGTTACTATTCAATTTTATATGCTACCCATAGGAATTAGATTGTTCAATGGCCTTTTAGTTTGAACCAAAATTCTGTGGAGTTAAACCAAAGTAAGCAAGCAGCATGGACTAACAACCTGCTTCTTGTGGTTAAACAGAATTTTAAATAGCTGATTTCAAGCATCGCCAGGATGCATTGTATTTCACTCTTCTAAATTGGTATCATAAGAAAATTGGCTGTGTTGATCTAGATTTTTTGTTAATATTTGGGGGATTTTTAAATATATTTGGTCAAATTTTTAAATGTTTTTATGCAAGTATTTAATCATTTCTGTTTAAGCATAAAAAAGATTTTTTTGGAACCACAATCACTAATTTTCTCAGAATGAAGGATTTTAGTTATTAGTGAAGGTGCCTATTTAATTATAACAATATGCTGCTCATTGCCTACTAAAGCCCACTGATGTATACGTCTCCAACTTTCAGGGATTTCTCAGAAAGACGTATTTTGAATTTGTAGCCTGAATAAAGGACTGAGAATAAGCTATGGTCTAGTTATTATTCGGAAATGCTTTTCAGAAAGCATTGTCTGCCATAGATTAATAACAATACCTATGAATTAAGATTAAAACAAGTAAAGCCTTTCCTATTTTCTATTTCATAAAGAATAAAAATATTTGGACAAAAATATTAAATTTTACAGTACTTTGGAACCCAGCGTGCCTCTCGCTATACAAGGATTATAGAGCTTATAAAATTCTAAATAGTATTTGTGGAGCAGAGGAAACAATGGAGTTCAGAAACATCCAGCAATCTAGGAGAATGGCATTGACAAGGCAAGGCTATGTTATTTACTGCTGTATATGCAGCAGATTTGTCAGTCATCAGAAATACTGACTGACTTCAACATAAATGAGCCAATACTTAAAAATAATTGGCATTCTTCTGGGATTAGACAATATGCAACATTAATATTCATTAGAGCTTACACCTTTCAAATAATGTTGTTTGGTTTTTATGCAAATTCACATCTCATGTCTGAAATCCTTACAATAAATTTTGAAAATTTATTTAAAAGTAAATGCTTCTTATAATATTTCAGCATAAGATTAGAACATCCACAGTAAATCTACAAAAAAGTGTTTTAAGGAATATATTTTTGCATTTTTCTTTTTATCTGTACGCCAAAGAAAGCTATAAAAATTAAGGTTTTTCTGAAAAAAAATAGTACTAAGGTAGATAATGGAATATATTACAGAAATCAGAAAATTATGTACAACATTCAGATTAATCATCTAAACATTTTCATGATAGGATAAAATAGTACCTATGTATTTCTGAACATTTAATGAAAAAGTGACTTAATTTAGTTATCAGTTAATGTCTACATTGTAAATGATTCTGTCTTTTTAAAAGAGTTCAGAGAAATAATAATCACAAATCAACTTGAATAGATTCCAATATTGTTGAGATAAACTCAGACTGAGAGGTAGCACCTTAGTTTAGGCCTTTAAATAAGTTTTTAACTAAGATAACACAATGCCAATTTTCCCATAGTTGTTTTTAAGGGAACTATAGGAAAACCCCATATGAAACCAGACATTGCCCCTGTGACTTAGGTGCTATAGAAATCACAGCCCATGTTCTTTTGTATTGTCAGTTCTACACAAAAATTCATGACCAATTGATTACCCATTTGTATGTAAATTTCCAATGCACTCCATAAGATTTTTATTTATATTATATTATTATATATTATATTATTATATTAAATAATTAAATTTATTTCTTTAAATATAGCAAATTTTTCCTACAGTATGTTTGAACTTTGTCTATAAATGGTTGCCAACAGTTATTGATGTTAAGGGATAATTTTGCTTTGTTTTATAGAATGTTTTTTTTAGTCAATGACCAATATAAAGTTTCTGTCTCTCAGTACCAATTTCCTAGCTATTAGATACCAGATTGCCTTAGCTTAACAGAGTTAGACAACTGGGCACAAAGATCCTGTTTGTGGTGGAGAGGACATTTCATTCTTATACCTGTACAAATATGGTCATTCTTTTGAGTGCACACATAAATACATTTCTAAGGCCAAATCTCATTTTTCAGATTTATTAAACAAATTTACATGGCCACCAAACTCACATCTAGGTGACTCCAAGAGGCTCTCAACATTAAAAACCACAAACATAAAAATACAACATAAGCCCCTCCCCCCATGGCATTAGCAACACAATCAAATTAACCACTTGATTGGCTCCTGTAGATGATGATCAGCTGAGGTTGAAGGTGGGGTCAAACACATAATTTTGGAATGTTTATACCCCCATAAGAGACCTTGAAGTCTGTTAACTCTTATGTGACCTTGACCGTTAATAGATCAGATTTTTGTATATAGGTAGTATGAACTAAACTTGTAGCACTTTTGAATTCTATCCTGGTTCATTTGGAGTTCCCAGGCCTGTTGCCTTTTGGAAAAGCAACAAGATAGAGGGCCAACCATACCTCAGCAGGAATGATATTCCTTAGAGAGGTGGCCACCATTGAGAAGACTCTTTTTCATGGTCCCAGAGATGTACATCCCTAACTGATGGGACCCATAACATATTCTGCCTTCTGCCTGGTAGGCTAGGTGGATGTAATCGGGGAGAGGCGGTCCTTCAAAAAGACCAAGCCTTGTAGGGCTTTAAAGGTGATAACCAGCACCTTGAATTGTATCTGGAAGCATATTGGCAGCCAGTACAACTCTCACAAGAGAAATGACACATGCAGAACTTAGGCTTGCATAAAACTGTTCAGGCCATGCATTCTGAACCAGCTGAAGCTCCTGGATACTGTACTATGTAAAGCGCATTACATCAATCCAGATGGGTGACTATTAGAAGGGCATGTTGGTCATAGTTGTGCAAAGACTCCACTGGCTCCTTAAGCAAAAGTCACAAGTCCAGAAGAAACCCCACTTTAAGCACTGGATCGCTATGGGGCAGTACAACCACATCCACAACCAACGATGGCAATTCTTCAAGAACCAGAGTCCCTAACCCAGAGCCACTCTGTCTCGCCAGGATTTAGATTTAGCCTGTTGCTCCCCATCCAGACCTCAACAGCCTCCATGCAATTCTCATCACCCATATGACTTTACTGATTAAAGTATATAACAGGAGGCAAACCTAGTAGGGGACTAGGGGCAAATTTAAAATTTTGAAAACATAGGGGTGGTAGATTCAGAATATAGTTGCCATAGTACTGTATGCATAGTCAATCTCACAATACTCATTTATCAGAAGCCCAGCTTCATTTCCCAGTAAGGTATATGTGCAACTCAAAGACTACTTGATTCTAGAGGCTTGTGCTTCGTAGCATGCCAACTTCCTGCTTTTACCATCATCATCATCTTCATCTCTTTTTTTAAAAAAAAAACTCATAGATTAGAGAGTCTAGCGAGTGAGTTGTCTGGGGACAATTTGTGAATAAAAAACTTTAGTTAGTTATGTCCAGGTTGTATTATTTTTATAAATAACTTAAGGAAGCGAATATACCTAATACTCCTTCATCCACCTATTTTACCTGAGGTGGGTTTTGGGCTGAAAGAGGGTGGGTTTTGGGCTGAGAGGTGAGGTGGGTTTTGGGCTGAGAGAGGGTGGCTGGCCCAAAATCACTCAGCTACCTTTCATGCCTAAAATGGGACTAGAAGTCAGAGAGCTCCTGGTTTTTAGCAGATACCTTAACTACTAGGACAACTGGCTCATTATCATACAACATCTATATTATAGAAGCTACAATGGTTGCCAGTTTATTTCTGGATGCAATTCATGGTTCTGTAATAGTTATTAATAATTAATTATTACAGTTACAATAAGAGTTAATGATAAAGAGACCTTGGTATCTATGAAATCATTTCTGTTTGGGAGCTGCAAGTAAAATCTGTCTCTGCAAAGCAAATAGATATAACACACTTAGAATATTCACACATCCCAAAATCTATAGAAGGGACTCGAAAGCAAGCATTCTCTCCTAGAGCTCCCCTTCTACAGAAGCAGCTGTCATCTAAAATAAGATGAGCATTTTTTTATTTTAAAATCTGTGAAAATATTTAATAGGCATTCAAGGGTTGAGGAACCAATGATAAATGTGCTTGAGATGCATACAGCCACTACTTATTGTTATTACTACTGAGTTGAATTATTTTGATTAAACCAGTCTAAAAGCACATGAAACACTTGTACATAAATGATTAAAAATGGATTAATGTTACAATCTGCATTCTTAACAAATATAAGCTCCTCAGCCAACAAATAATACCATCACTATGACAGAAGACAAATACTTTAAAATTATATTTCATTTATTTAATGATTCTGTGATTTGGCTTTTTGTTTTATCGGCTCTGATAAAGTTTTTACTGAATTTTTGTATGTTTTGTTTTTAAATTTTAGCCTGGAAGAGTTGTGACACTTATTGAAGATCCTGAGGTACAGTAGTTGCATTTTTACGTAGTCTATAAATATGTTTTGCCCTGAGTAGTAGTATGAAGCTGCCTTCTTAACTCTGATATAGAGAGAAAACTAGAATTTTAAACTGCAATCTTACAGACATTAATTGGGATATAAATTCATAGACACAATGTAAATATACAAAATAAATATGCATAGCTTTATAACTACTGTGAAAGAACTGGAGAAAATTACAAAATGCAAAAACCTGCAAATAGAGTAACTGTGGCAAAAGAAAACAAAGATAGTTCAAATTGGATGCTTGGGTGCAATCCCAAAACATCTGGAGCACTACTTGAATAACATTGGCATTGACAAAATCCCCATTAGTCAATTGCAAAAGGCAGCTTTATTTGGAATAGCTTACATCCCGCAGTAATATCTTTAACACTTTCAAATAACATCTCCCTCTCTGCTCAAGGAAGATGGGCAGTGAAGAAATATGAAATATAAACAAACAATCGCCTATACCAGATTCTTGGGAAGGACTCAATGGGTGGAGAACAGTACCAAATCCAATATAAACAATCTAGCTGACTGTGAAATGAACCTTAATAATAATTCAAAGTTGAACATTTATGGAAATCCAAGTTGAATGTGTATTGAAAAAGAAGTCCATTATTAAACCAGTTGTGATTAAAGCCCTCAGAGCAATACCTAAAAGACTCCCTTAATGGCTGGAAATATTAAAATTATCAAATCTGAGCACCTTAATTTTACAAAAGCCCATCCTGCTTAGAACATCCTAGATCAGTGATGGCGAACCTTTTAGAGACTGAGTGCCTAAACTGCAACCCAAAACCCACTTATGCATCGTCGAGTGCCGGGTGGGTGTGGCCTATTGGCTGAGTGTTGCCAATTGGGTGGGCATGGCCAATTGGGTGGGCGTGGCTGCGGTGGTAATGGCAGACTGGATGGGGCTAAAAAGTTCAATCAATCAATTCCAACTTTGCAAGATCTTTTTTTTCCCGCGAGAAGTTGAAATTGACTGATTGAACCTTTTTTTTTTTTTTGCACATGGTGGCGGAGGCCTAAAGCAAAAAGGTTTTATAAAACCCAGCTGAAGGCCTAGGACTGGGGCGACGGTGCGCATGCCCACAGAGAAGGCTCTGAGTGCTGCCTCTGGCACCCGTGCCATAGATTCGCCACCACTGTCCTAGATGCTACCTTAATAATACTTGGTTAGGACTTGAATTATTAAGATTCCAGTGGTCTTAGACTGTGAATCTAACTGTAGATTACACACACAAATAATGATGACTTGAAAAGTGGATAAAAATGCAAAATCCAGTTTAAATATCTAATTGACTGTACAACCTACTATAATAATAATTCTATTTTTACCAAAATATTTATTGCTTTGAATAAGTTCATACAACATCAAAATCTACATAATGGTTTAGTACATGGATAAATCTAGTCCCTGTAATAAATTATATAGTTAGGCAATGGAATACAGAGTAGCCAAAAAGTAGAAAGATAGGTGGGGGAACTGAAATGCACAATGTGGTCATAAATGCCGCCAAGCTGCCAAGCATCCAAATTTTAACCCAGGGATGTTGTAACAGCTATAACTTCAAGGAAGAGCCATAAGTACCATTCATTCAGTGCTAAGTTCTAAGTTCAAACAGTTGCTGAACAAATAGTTGTTAAGCAAGCACTACATGTAATGAGATGCTGGTATAAAAGATAATTTATTTTTCATATGAGCTTACTATTAGTTTCATAGAGTAGATATGAAAAAATCAAAAGAAAATATACAGTATATAGTCCCCATGATATTTAGTTCCACTTGGATCATATGCCTCCATGATTGAAGAAAGCATTGATGAGACACATGGCAGCCTGCAAAATATGCTGTCAGATAATGCTCATAGACACATCCTGTACCAAAGTCTTCTTCTCAGTGACATTTTCTTGCTGCTGTACATATGTTAATATTTGTTTTGGACTCTACCATAGGGAGCAAATAGTAATATCCAGTTGAATGGTAAAGCAGCTATTTATGATTTTTGAATAGCAAAGAAATTATTGTCCTGTCCATATAAATACAACTTTATTTTAAATATATTATGAAATAAAATGTCAATAAATTATAGCAAAAAATAAAAAATAAGATTTTCTACACTCTGAAATGCTGGTTCTATAGAGCACAATCCATTATATTTCTACCAAAAAAAAAAAATTCAAACTCACAGTTCTGATGTGCTCCTCAGTATATTTTTTGCACTGTAAATTTATCTTGTACTTGGAACGATTTCCTTGATATATATATTTTTACCTTCACATAATCTATGATTAGCATTGTATTTTAACATGTTGCTGAAAACTCCTAATTCTGATTACAGGGTTTATATTTTAAACCTTTTTGGAAGGTAATGTTTTGTTTATAGTACAATGAAAATAAATAACTACTCCCTTTCTATGACCTGCGTTTAAATACTCCAACATTGAGGCTTAAATCAGTTTTACAGATAGGTACCACTAAACCTATTTATTTAAAGTAAATTTGCCTAGGATCAGAAATTAAAAATATGAACCATGAAAATCTCACTTCCATCTTCAAATCAGCTACAAATTCACACGTGAATTAAATTTTCAACTTTGTGTTCTCACATCTGAAGAGCAAAGGTAAAAATTTACAAGGTGTTACAGAATTATTGTGATATTATTAAAATACATTTGAAATGTTCTAAAAAGTAAAAAATAAAATAACTCAGTTCATATTACTTATTCTATATCATCTTTATTTCTCTTACATTAGAAGTGTTCACATTAAGGACCACTCTTGACTTCTACATGGTGTGCTAGATGGGATCCTGTAAAATAAATTAAGTGAAGCCAAGATTAAGTAGTGGCTAAGACAAAAAAACCATTGGGCCATAGTTTAATTGTGATATAATGTAAATCAGGGGACTCCAACCCCCGGTCCGTAGACCAGTACCAGGCCACAGCATGCCAGCTACTCGTCTGCACAAACAAGCAAAGCCCCATTCGTGGGATGTAGGTGGCACACAAAAACATGCACTCTCCGGTCCACGGAAAAACCTCTCTCCACAGAACCAGTCCCTGGTGCCCAAAAGGTTGGGGACCTCTGATGTAAATTATAATATAATATGTACAATTTATTTATGATGCACTGAACAGTTTCTATTATTCTATTATCACTGATGCTACTTAGAAAATTTATGCACAGTTGAGGCTTCAGGGCTAAATCCAGTCGTCATATCCCTCCAAAATTTGCCTCCAATTGCAATTTTTAAGGTGTTAACTCAATACCTTAAAAATTGCAATTGGGGGCAAATTTTGGAGGGATATGATGACTGGATTTAGCCCTAAAGCCTCAACTGTGCATAAATTTTCTAAGTAGCATCAGTGATAATCCCTCAGTATTTATATTTCTTGAGAATAAATACAAATGTCATGAAAACAAGGAGGTTTAAACACCACCAATTGTCCTGTAATGCTGCCGAATTTAGATCAGAGTAATGGCAGCTACAGATTTCAACCTTTTGTACTTGACAAGATCAGCACAATGCAACACAGTGTCTGTCACTGTGAATTCTTCTGTACTTTTCTGGTAAGTTTTTTCATACTGCTGTGCAGTTAGATCCTATTATGTTAGCAGACAGCTTCCTCTATAAGCAAAGAATAGTTTAGCTTGGTTTTTTTCTCTTTCCCCAGCATTTGTATTACAAAACAAACTCCAATCATTGCAAACTAGTTATTTCAAATCAATACCCTCTAGTCATCCTGAGTTACTAATGTACAACTAATAGTGCAGAACATCTAGAAATTATCAATATTTTTAGCTTATCTCTATCAACGTATCTTGCTAAATTAACAGCACTTGTAGATGAAGTACCTGCCCAGAGGTGTCAGAGTAGAAAAAGAGTTCTTAACCATAATAAAACCCTGGAGATGGGAAGAGAGGCAGAGAAGAAGTGAGAATTTGCAATTCTATCATTAAATCCTGGTTTCCAGTCTTTCATTAATGTGCATGCATTACTGACAATAAAGGTTTGGAAGAGTGACCTCTAACTCTTTGATAGAGTCTGATCTTTGTATGTTTTATCTTTTTGGTTGTATTCTTCTACAGGGCTGTGTATGGGGTGTTGCATACAAACTGCCAATAGGACAAGAAGTTGAAGTAAAAGCCTATCTTGATTTTCGAGAGAAGGGTGGATATAGGACTACAACTGTTGACTTCTATCCCAAAGATCCTGCAGTGGAACCTTTTAATGTGCTATTATATATTGGAACCTGTGAAAACCCTAACTACCTCGGACCCGCACCCCTAGAAGAAATTGCCGAACAGATTTTTAATGCAGTTGGTCCTAGTGGAATGAATACAGAATACCTATTCGAACTTTGCAATTCCCTCAGGGATCTTGTACCAGAAGACGTGGATGAACATGTTTTTGCTTTAGAGAAACTGGTAAAGAAACTATTGGAAGAAGAGCAAAACAAACCTGTATAACAGTCGCTTTGCAAAGAGTTTCTTCACTATCAGAATAAGTTTATTCTGTTTATATTGTTTATATAATTTGGAAATTATCCATCAAAATTTTTAAAAATTAGTTTCCATATTTCATTGAGGCATCACTGTCCTTGAGCAGTAGAGATTTTTAAAATATTTAAAAAAATTTAAGAAGGAACTTTGAATTTCCATGAAGTTTTAAGAATGCTTTTCTGTTCATTTCTCAAATTTGAATAACGTAGGCCTGATTTAAGTTGAAGGGAAGCTTTTTTAACTTTAAGTTACAGTATTAGATTTTGTTTTCCTCTAAAAAAAAGTTTTGAACTAGATTCTTCATTTAAGTATGGATGCAGTCCTATGCACAAAAGGAAGTCCCTTTCAACAAAGAAAGAAATGCATAGGATTGAGTGATGTGTATTGACATGTCAGTATATTCCTTTAAAAATGTTCCCAATAGGATTTGTGGATTACAGCACTGAGAGAGAAATCCTTTGTGCACTTGTTTAGGATTAAGTTCAACATGGTAAAAAGTAAATATGTGTAGGATTACATTCTAAATTCTAATTCTATATCTACGAAGGGCCTGGATTATATGTACACCTGTTTGAAACGTATTGCTTATTATATATTATTTATCATTTAGTTTAACTTGCCCAAATTCAATAATTTATATATAACAATTTACTTAGTAATAAGAGGATCAATAGTTACAAATGAAAGGAAACTACACTTTGCATTCATGGTTTCAATATCTTCAGAGATGATGTACACTGGTACAAGGCTTTCTCTCATTTTTTGGAAAATAACTAATCAGGGAAACAACTTGAATCTAGAGTAATAAGTATGTAACAAAACTCCTATCTATAATCATTATAGGCAATTTTCAGAGATAGTCAAATCTATCTTTATCCCAATAACTAGAACTCCTTAAATTAAAATTCACAATAACCCTTTGTTCAACCTTTACTTTGCCAAAATGATGTGGTCACCAATACCTAATGTTATAGTTTCACAATTTCTTGCTTCTAGTAGTTAAGAACACACAATAACACATTGAGGTGCAAGAACATTTCTTCTTCAATCTTTGTTTTTAGTGACAATCCTGAGTTTTTATAAATTTCTATGCATTTGTAAAGCTTCATTATTGAAGACTGCAGTTTTCTTTGTAAGATCTAGTTGGAAAAATTTGGAAGTATATGGATTATGCAGCTCAGTCCATTTGAAAAGCACAGAATCACCATTTGTAATACAAGAGCAAATTTTGGATAGTAATTCCTTTTTGCTTTCAAACGGAATCAAACAGAAGGATTGTTGTTTCTTTAAGGACTGACAAAGATCTGGCAAGCATCTAAATAAGGAATAAACTCCCTTGTAAGTCAAACTTCTTCAGGAAATATTGGCACATAACTTGCATAGGAAAGATTCTGAACGAAAATTTATGCTACCAATTTGCAAGCCTAGTTATTATCATTAATTAGCATAGTTCTAGTTGTACCTGGATAACTTATTATAATTAATTATATTTTCTACTAACAAGAATTTGGAAATGCTTGCTAGAATTTTTCACTGAAATAACCCTTGCAATGATAAACTTGTCACTAAACAAAGGAAAATATATGAGCTGCAGTCTATTTCCAATCTCCAACAAAAATGTTATTATGTTTCCTCCTATAGCTAAGGATTTCAAAAGAGAACACTATGGAATGCCTCTTTGATGGCTATAGCTAACCTATAAACACTCTTTAAAAATTCTAATAATTGTGCATCTCTCTCCCATAATGCTTTGAACTAGTTGTTTATTGAAGATTGTATTACATATACCTAGGCCATCTGTCACAATATTTTTGAAACCACGTCAAGTATTTATTTGAGAGTCCAAATTAAAATTTACACCAGTTAAGCATAAGCTGTTGATTTAGTTTAAATCAAATCAGTCAATTGTATTTGCATCCAGAAGGCCCATAAGTAACTTACAAACATAATCTAAATTTAAATATTTTACTTACTAAACTGTTTTATCCATTATCAAATTTAGATTATGTTTGTAAGTTGCTTTTAGGCCTCCTGGCCATAAATAAAATTGATCGATTTAGCTAAATGTACCTCTTTTTTCAGAATTCTGTACTTAAGAGTTCAAGGGTAAGTTGCACAGTAAATTGCCAGGACTTCTAAACTTTCTCAGCTTCCACTGAAATGGTTATCTGCTACGTTAACTTGATAACATTAACCTTTCCGTCCCAACTATGCATGTACATCTCATAATTTCAGTTCTTTTCTTTAAACTTTCAACAAAATCATAAACTGGTTGTATGTTTCTGTAATTTTCATAATGAAACTTGTATGATTTTGCATTAGTAATACAACAATTATGGTTTAAGCCCATACAGTGTTTCTCTCCCTGTTTAACAAATACTTGCAAATGTTATGCTGTTGTTTGTGTATTTGGAGGCATCTGTATCCAACAAAGTGTGAAAACTAAGTCTGAATCAGAAGGTTATAGTTTTAATAAGGAGTTAATCAAGATTTTAAACAATGAAAAGGAATTCTGATACAAACCATAAATGGCATTTCCAGATCACAGTAAAATAAATTATGTATAGGTTAAATATGATTAATTCTTATTACATCATTATAAAACATCTACATAGAAATAGGGCTTAGTTACCATAAACATTTTATCACTGATTTTTAATCTGAATTATTTTATTGTAATTCAGTTACATTAAGCAGAGCTCAGCAACTAGTGAATGAGAATTGTACTACATAACCAAAGAAATGTTCGATTTTCATTTCCCAATCATGCTGTATGTCCTTTTTAAAAAAATAAGTGGAATTTTAATAACAGTTTGTAATCCATTGATTGCTGCTCTGAAAAAAAAATATACAATTCCATTGGGCATTCTGAAAATCTTTGGATCCCACCATCAACACTAGAGGTGCAATACTGTAGTACAAATGTGCAAAAGGTTATAGGTGAAATGAAGTAACTTTGAAGCTTAAAATGAGAAGTACATTAAATAGCCAGCACCATTCTTAGGAATCTGTTTCAGCATCACAGCATGGCTTCTTTTACCAGAAGATAAATGGTTCATTATTCCCTTCACTTACCTGTTTTAAATGAGTTATAGGCATCTCTCAACTTATGACAATGCAGTGACCATTCAGAATTACAATGGTGCTGAATAAAGGGTCTTATGACCTACACCCAAACTTATGGCCACTGCAGTGCCCTGTGTTCACGTGATCACAATTCAGGAACCCTTACAACCAACATCAGGGATGCTGCAGCTGCCCCTACTTGCCTATCTTCCTCCCATCCACCCAACTGTTTTCCATGAGCCTACTTCCCATCTTGCTCCATCCCACAGTAGCTGATGCATCATGCAGCCTTCCTATATAAAAGTGGCTTGGTGCCATCTTGGAAACTGATGCAATTTTGGGAGTGGCCACAATTCGCAGATCTCCAGAATTGTAGTCACTTCTAAAATGGCACCAGTCCGGTATGGCACTAGGCACGTTCTGTACATTATGTGCACAATTATTAGGCAAGCAAGTATTTTGACCATGTCATTTTCAAGCATAATTTCCACTTCCAATATATATAAACTTAAATGCTTAGTGGATATAAGCATATCAGGTGATGTGTATTTGTGTAATGTGGGAGGTGTGGCCTAAGGAGATCAACAACCTATATCAAGATGTGCATAATTTATTAGACAGCTTCTTTTCCTCAGGCAAAATGGGCCAAAAAAGAGATTTAACTGGCTTTCAAGTCAAAATTGTAAGTTTTTCAGAAGGATGCAGCACTCTTGAAATTGCTAAGATATTGGGGCATGATCACAGAACCATCAAACGTTTTGTTGCAAATAGTGAATAGGGTCGCAAGAAACGTGTTGAGAAAAAAAGATGCATATTAACTGCCAAAGATTTGAGAAGGATCAAACATGAAGCTACCAGGAATCCGTTATCTTCCAGTGCTGTCATATTCCAGAACTACACGCTACCTGGAGTGCCCAGGAGTACAAGGTGTTCAGTGCTTAGAGATATGGCCAAGGTAAGGAAGGCTGGCAGTACTGTAGGTTTGGGAGTTGATTCTGAGTCCATCTTCAACCCGAAAAGGTCCACCTCATCATTAATAATACCAGCCCATACCAGTACCCCACCTCTACCTTGCTGGTATCTGAGTCAAAGTGAGCTCTGTGCCTATTACTGATCCAGCCACAGGCCCATCCATCTAGTCTGTCAAGAATCACTCTCATTCATAAAACCTTTGAAAAATCTGTCTTCCGATATTCCTTGGCCCAGTCTTACTGTTTCAACGTATGTGTCTTGTTCAGTGGTGGTCGGGTTTCAGCCTTCCCTACCTTGACCATGCCTCTGGCCATGCCCTCTGGGTATTCCAGGCAGGTTGCAGTTCTGAAATATGACACCATTGGAGGATAATGGATTCCTGATAGCTTCATGTTCTCAAATCTTTGGCAGTTAATGTGCATCTTTTTTTTTCAACACATTTCTTGCGACCCTGTTGACTATTTGCAACAAAATGTTTGATGGTTCAGTGATCACGCCCCAATATCTTAGCAACTTCAAGAGTGCTGCATCCCTCTAACTTTTTATAATTTTTGACTTTTCAGTCAGTTAAATCTCTGTTTTGGCCCATTTTGCCAGAGGAAAAGAATCTGTCTAATAATTATGCACACCTTGATAAAGGGTGTTGATCTCTTTAGACCACACCCTCCCACACAAATACACATCACCTGATATGCTTACATCCACTAAGCATTCAAGTTTATACCACTTGGGAGGTAGAAAATATGGTCAAAAACTCATTTGCCTAATAATTGCTGCTGCTCTTTCTGAAAGACAATTTCTGAAGATTTTCATTTGGATAGAGAATCAGCTGATGTGAAACACAACAATCAACAAGATTGGTGCCTGCCTCCAGAATGACACAAAGCAGCCTCTGCAGGAAAGCTGCATGTTGCATTGATTGGACACTCTTTTGGAAAGGTGAACTTTGGAAGAGATAAGTGGAGTGAGGCAGGAGAGGAGACGCAAGTTTGTGGGACCCAGGTGAACAGGAAGCTGTGGAAGGAGTGTCTCAGAAGGTGGAGGCCCTGGGAGGCCTTATGCAGGCAACATGTGAGCTGGGGAGGTACTGCGTTGCAGTCCTGCATTAGATGTCCCCCACTAACTGTGTTCTGCTTAAAGATTACCACAGGGAGCCAGTATTGTGGTCATAAGCAAGGTAATCACATAGGCAGTTCGCTAATGACTGCAAGGACTTAAAAATATAATTCCAAATTTGAGGACTACCTGTATATATTTACAGGGTATAACTTCTGTTCTAATGGCAGAAAGTGAAGAGGAGCCAAGAGATTCTTGATGAGGATTAAAGATGAGAATGTAATGTTGGTTGGAAACTCAACATTAAAAAACCTGAATCATGGCATCCGGTCTCATCATTTCCTGGCAAATAGAAGAAGAAATGGAAGCAGTGACAGATTTTATTTTCTTGGACTCTAACATCGCTGCAGACAATGACTGTAATTAAATTAATTAAAAGAAATTAAAAGACTCTAGCTCTTTGGGAGGAAAGCTATGGCAAAGCTAGGCAGCATATTAAAAAGCAGAGACATCACCTTGCCAACAAAGGTCTGTATAGGATTTTCTCAGTAGTAATGTATGGCTGTGAGAGTTGGACCATAAGGAAGAGGAAGGCTGAACGATTGATACTTTTGAATTGTGGAGCTGGAGAAGACTCAAGTGTCCCTTGGACTGCAAGAAGATCAAATCAGTCTTTGGAAGGACAGATGCTGAAGTTCAAATACTTTTGCCACCTAATGAGAAGAGAAGATTCATTGGAGCCTGATGTTGGGAAAGATTGGAGGCAAAAGGAGAAGGGGACAGCAGAGGATGAGGTGATTAGATAGTGTTAACACCAGAAAAGTAAAAAATGTTTCATTAAACCAAATCTGATATCACTGCAAAAATACAATTATAAAAATGACATAAATATATCTGCCATGTTACCACAACTTAATGAAAACAATGTTCGCAATAAGGACTAGTTCATTAAATACATATTAAAACATTAATAACTAGCATTCTGTCAAAATAATTCAAACTTGATTGTTATAAGATAGTTTTCATTCTTGTATGAAGATGCCATCAAAAAATTGATACCAGATAAAGAACTGTCAAAGCAAATTAAATATCTTTTTAAGAACAATATTTTAAATGAAATTATGTACCAATTAAATCCTTATGAATTATTTAAAAAGTGCATGCATTGTTCACATATTTCCTACAATTATAAACTATCAACTCAAAATCAGCTGAAGGCAACAATATTGGGCACACTTCCAAGTTAGTTGAGTAATATCTGTTGAATTAAATATGGATAAACATTAATATCAGAAATTCCATATTTTTATGAGTCACAGAAGTGATAGTATTGTATTGTATTGTGGTACTATTTTTTCTTATAAATACAGGTAATATGTAGATGAGATTATACAGATTAGGAGGAAATGTATTGCCTTCTTTAATTTTATTGCATAAAAATATTAATAAAATGCCTTGTTAGTGTGATCTGTCATTAGAGTAACGTGTCTAACAGCCATCATTGCCCCCTTTGACCTAATTAGTTCCAAGATGTCTGGGGAGTGTGACTCCTCCATAGCTGTACTGATTAATAATTATAAATCCAGAGAGTACCAAGTTATGAAATATTAATATGCATTTCTCCTCTTCTCTGCATAATTACCTGCTTTGATACATACATACTCTAAATTAACAGTAATTTCTAATACCAGGGGCAGACAAAGCCCAGGTAATAGTTTCAACTAACAGAGTAAGAGTTTTCTCATGTTATTATATTTTCTTAATCAGGCAGGTGACTATGGAAATTCTCAGTCATCTAGGTCATGGTTATCCCCAAAGTGCTTTTTCAAAAGGCAACTGGAATTTGGTTTTTTTTTTCTTGAAGACATTTCTCTTCTCATCCAAGAAGCTGAAGAAGCGAAATGTCTTCAAGAAAAAAAAAAAAAAAGTCCAGCTGCCTTTTGAAAAAGCACTTTTGGAATTTATCAGGGAGGGCAAATTACTGAGCTAAAATTCCCTCCCCTTTCCCCCTTTTTTGCAACTCTAATAATCCATTTTATTAAATGGCTGGATTTCAGTGGTATTGTTTGTTGTGAAACAAAACTTTAAGCCCTGTATATAAAATCATGGTGCTCATTCAGTCGTGTCTGACTCTGGGCAATCCTATGGACCAGGTCTTTCCACATCTTCTAATCTTACACTACACTACGTACTTTTTTGCTTACATACCGTACTAAGCCTCCCTGAAATCTACTGCAACTTCACCCTTCAAAAGTGAATCAAGTCCTTTTTTAAAGGTAGGGTTAAGTTTTGTTGTAGATTTTATTTATTTGCCACTGGCAGTTCAAAATATGTACATTTTTTGTTATTATTTTAATCCCATTACTAGAAATCAGGAATCTAAACCACTGAACAGAAACCACGATTGAAGCAGCCTGTTAACTGTTAACGTAAGAAAATGACGGTCTACAACTCTTTTGAGATTTCTGGTCGTGGTCTACCACGTATGAATCATATTCCACAGAGAATCTGCTTAACCTCTGAGCCAGATTTGGCCAATTGCCGACAATATATCGCTTAACCCTTGTTCTCTTGCTGCTCTGCTGCAAGAACGGGGGCTTCGAGGCCCCCATCCCACCCCTCCAATTCCTGCCCTTTGAATCCCACCAGAGTATCTTTATTCCACTTCCCACCACGGGGAACTCGGCAAACCTCCCTCGCAAACACGAATCTCTCGGTCTTCAGTTTTCAAAAGACATAAAAGGAGAGCCAGTTTCCACCAGTCCTTCCGGAACAAAACGGTCACGGAGAAGCATGAACGCGCTGCTCCCTTCCCCTCTTGGTCTCTGAAGCATCTTACCTCCTCTCATCTCCTCAGGCAACGCACTCCGACTTCCCCGGATGTTGATCGGAGGCTGGGACACACGCGAGCGCGCGCGCGCGCGCAAACACACACACACAGCGCCCCGCCCCTCCTCCCCCGCTGGAGGAAAATTCATAGAACTCCGCAGAGGGTAGAGTCGCCCATAACCTGCGCCTACTTTGAGCCGCAAAGATATTAGTCGACTCCACAACTGATGTTGCAGCCTATACAAATGTTGTTCCAGTATTGCTAGCTAGTGATTATAGGTACAGACTGATATAGTAAGAATCTTAGCCAGAAAGAGCTGAACTATACGGAAAGCAGGGAATTTCAATGAAAAACTCTTTGAAGTTCAGAAGGCCATTAATGCCTGTGACACGGAATGGGCTGAGAACAAAAGGATTAGACTGAGATGTTAGCTATTAGGGATCCATAGATTTCGACACTATCAGGTTTGCGAAGTCCTCTCTTATTTTTACGGTAATCTCCATGGGGCAACCGAAACAAATCAAAATAAATAAACCCGAGAGGAGCGGAAGCTAAACTCAACTGCCAGTAACTCTAGCAATTTCAAATGGACGGATAATCACGTGCCTTTTTCCTCCGGAAGTAGACGTGGCCGGCTTCTTTGGGCGTGTGATGATTGGTAGTTGCCGGCCGTCTCGGACGGGTTCCCGTAAAGAATGAAGCGGCGAAAGCCGGAGCCCCGGAGAGGGGCTGTGCTGGTGCGCCTGTTGCTGTGGGGGCTTCTGGAAGCCAAGGCGGCCACGGCCGAGGGCAGCAGGTCCCTCCCGCAGTTTAACGACGACGTGTCTTTCCGAGTCAACTGGCCGGGCAGAGAATTCATCCTGGTGGGTGGCTGGTTGGAGAAGGGAATTTAGACTGGGAGAACTAGACGGACCCGGGGAGGAAAGGGATGAGAAGCAGGAAGAGAGACCAATATATGGGGAAGCGGAGAGAGCCGGGTCGGGACTGGCCAGTTAGCAGGTTTTCGTAAGATTGCTCGATCTGAAGTGAAGAATTACGGACGACCGCCAGGTTGTTGCAAAGAGAGACCGCGGTTTTTAACTCTTTGCTGTTCCCTTATACTGTAGTCATTCATGCTTTGCTACTTAAGATTTGGTAGTTGTAGGCTTTTGCGTTTTTAATCTGAAAACTCGAAACGTTGCTAGCTACTTGGTAACACTGGTTGGTTCTAGAATATTGCTCGGCAGTAGTCTTTCTTCCTTTTGCTAATGAGCTAACGTGGCTGGGCTGTCTTCCCTTTTTTTTTTTTTGAAGAGACGGGATTGATCTGTCCGTGTTTGTCAGTTCCTGTACGTAATGGAGCCTTTGTGTGCCAAGACACTTTCTCACACCAAAGGCGAGCTTGTCTTCTACTGCCAGTCATCTGACTGTTTACTCATATGGATACTGTAGACCACTCAGTACCGGATAGCCTCTATGTCTGTGGAACACTGAATGAAATTGGATGGCTGGTATGATCCAGCAGGGTTGCGCTTTACCCTTGAAGTTGCTATTACCCTGCCAAAAATTCTATCATTTTTTTTAAAGTCCATCCTAGTTGTCTTGAAGGGCTTGAAGAAAACCGTTAGACCTTAAGTATGCTTGAATTTTCACAACTCTGGAAATAGCAGCAGAATGGGAAGTTACTGTGATCAGGGAATGGAAGGCTGATGATGACATAGGAAGCAGGTGTTCATATTCCATCTCTTTTCTCTATTCATTTATCTGAACCCAGATCACTGTGTTTCAGTTTGTATCATGGCAATGGTATGGTTTTTAATGTTAGAATGGTTATACTGTTTGTTATCATCAATTTGTCAAAAAGCCATATATCAAAGATTTGAAGAAGAAATTGGGCAAAATATAATATACATTAAATTTCAGAAATATAGATTTTGCATAATTTATTATAAATGTTTGTTTCCAATATTAGAGTTTACGATAAAAGCAATTGTTGTATACTAGTTACTTGTATGATCTTTGAATCTTTTTCCAATTAATTCTGATCAGCGAATTATAAGTATCAGTTTCCTTTGATATCAATGGAACTTAACTATGATTGTGTCTTACATTTGAAGAATCATATTTATTCATCCTTAGAGCCCTCATTCACTTACTTTCATTAAAAGTGAGTTGCATGTTTCTAACTCTAAAAAACATCTAAGTTTCTAACTAAGGCTATGCATTTTTTCAGATCTGACTCACAAGAGATGCTTCCAAATGTCAAGGGGTATGAATCTACCTATTGGTAATTCACTGCAGCCACTGAATTCTGGAAACATGTTTTGCTAATGTGCCCAAGCTTTGCATCCCTGTTCTTTCCTGTTCCAAAAGATCTCTTCTGAATCAAAACTGAAACACTATGACCTTTTCGATAACCACGGAATATAAATGTTAACAGGTATTTAAGAATGTGTCATAGGGTAGCTTACATTTTGGTTCAGACAAGCTGTTTGTGCTTTGAAAGGGAGCTTGCTTTAAAATTTCATCCGTAAACATGACACTGCTTGCATCTTAATCAAATGGTTTATTTAACAATGGTGTTTTCTGTAGCTCTAAGTGTAGACCCAAATACTATATATTCTTTGCAGTAGCAAGTCAGCAAACTCATTTTTATCTACCAAAGGCCCACTTGCTTCTTAGTAATGTTTGTTTCTGTGTTTCTTCCCCTTAAGCCTACTGCTGGGGTTCTATACAAAGAAGATTATTACATCATTATGACAACAGCAGATAAAGAAAAATACAAGTGCATTCTTCCAGTATTAGCTAATGGAGATGAGGCAAGTATACCAATTATAGAAACTAACAATAAGTGTTGCATAAAATATTTCAGATGCACAGAAGGAATTAAATCCAATACAATAGCATGGTTCTTTAATTGCTGTGAATTATTAGCATGTTAGCTAGGTATGTAACTTCACATAGGGATGTTTAAATTGATAATTGGCAAAAGATATCTTATGTTAAAAATTAAATACGCAACATAAAATGCACTTGTTGAATTTGAGTATAGTCTTGAAAGTGTATGTTTTAAGAGCCATCTATACTCCAAATTCTTTTGGAGAGTGATTTAATTTGTGATATAAAATCTTATTATAAAATTGGCTCAATACATTAAACAGAATTTGTCATATCTATTACTAGCATGTTTTTATTTACATTAGGCTACTGAGATATCAATTAAAATCCTTGGACAAATAAGCAATATTATGCTGATAATTTAATCTAGCTGTTAATTTTTTTGATATTAGGAAATAATATTTTTTATAGATGGTTCTATAAAGGGTGAGCCTTTACAATATAGGTCAGGCATGTCAAACTTGCGATTATTTCCCCATTGCCAGCAATGGGATGGGTGTGATTTCGGCGTGACGCATGTGGCCCGCAGGCCTGCAGTTTGACATGCCTGGAATAGGTCACAATATGGTCACAAATGACATATATTAACTTAGTAAAGATTTATGCTGTAAAAACTATCCTGCAAAATTCAAAAGCAGTTTAATTCAGGGAAGATATGGCTGGTGTTTATATGGAAAAGATGTTCATAAATTCTTCTTCAGATAGTTTAATGGTTCTTTAGATCCTGTTCAATTTCTTTAATTTGAACTGAAGAAATTCAAATGGAATCTTGTTCAGTTTTTGAGAAAGTTTATGGTATTCTGTTGCATGAATAATATGAGTATAAGTATTAACTATCTGATAAATATGAAAGCTGGTTTGGGCCTTGGGTTTATAAATTCTTGATTTATTTTCTAGTAATTCGTTTTTTTCTGTAAATTTTTAGAAATGTAATAAAATAAATACATATAGTACATATACAATTAATAAATTTGCTAATTTGAATTCATTTGAAATAATAATTCAATCTAATTATTCTTATTTTAGGAGGAAGAAAAAGATTATAAAGGACTAAGCCCAGCTGAACTGTTGGAACCTCTGTTCAAGCAAAGTAGTTGCTCTTATAG